ATACAGTAACTGCTACTTGGTACCTTCCTGTGTAGTGACAGGGAGTTTTTTTTTCTCCCCAGGAGGCGGAGCTGCAGCATTGATGGGCTGCACGCAAGGAGAGATGGAATGGAGCAGAGACTGGAGATGCTGTGCACCCACAAGAATACAAACACTGTGCGCCCACCCACACTTTGCACCAACAGCGCCCACACACACACTGTGCATCCACACCACCCACACTGTACACGGCCAGCACTGCACCCACTTTGTAACCCCACTGTCCTCAGCTTCACTGGTGTGGCAGTGTTATTTTAAGTTTGAATTACCCTGCCACACCAAATAAACTGTTTAAATTGTGCATTTATACATTGTGGAATACTGCACAAGTTGTTTTGTGGAATAAATGATAATGTTTCCAGAAATGAAATTATTTTTGGGTCATGACTTAATGACCAAGGACAAAAGTGGGTCCTAAGGGTTACCAGATAAAGCAGTTTTCCTCCTTCAGTGAGAAGTAGCATCTGTTAGGAAACCCTTATCGTTGTTCTGATGAAGGGTACTCTAGTAGAACGAAGCACTTCATACTTTGGAAAAAGTGCTGCTATAATAATATGAAGCCTATGAAATACCAGCACAGGATAAAATAGAGCAATTTACACTCCTTCAAGTACAGTAAGAGAACGTGTTTGGATATACTGTATGTATGTAAAGAATTGCAGCTCCATCTAGTGGCAAAGTTTCAAAGCAAATGTTAGAAGATAGACAATGTACTTCTGCTATACCTCTGCTTCCTGTTCTTCTGCTACATCCGTTTCCATTTCAGCTTCAGGACTAAGAAATAAACATTTTCTTTGTTACTGATTGTACAAGAATTTGTAAAGCAGAACAAAAAGTATTCTTTTGTAATGCAAACACAAACCGATATTTTCTACATTGTTAACTTCCTGTCTAGTGTTACCAAAAAAGGACAATGCAGACTTGCATGCAAGTCTAAAATGACTGACAAAATAGAAAAATATGCTGGACCTGGCTTCAGAGAGTATATAAATGCAATGGCAAACATCTGCAGTTCTGTACAGATTTGGTTACATTCACATACAGCACATAGTCACATTATTAAAAGCTTTTTTTTTTGCATAACACCGATTTAAAAGGAGAACTATGAGGTGAGTGCTTTTCACTCACCTCATAGTTCTAGCCAACCTGTGACAATGAGACTGGATTCCCCCCTCCCCGCTCCGATCCGCCAGCACTGACTGGCGGAACGGACGGGGGAGGGGGCGGGTACAGCTGCCTCTGCCTCTAGATAGGCAGAGCCAGCTGTCAGTCACGCAGCTGGGCGGATCCCGGCACAATTGTCGGGATCCGCTTCAGCTGCAGCGTCTCAGTATACTGCGAGCAGCTGCTAGCGGTATACTGCGGCGTCTCAGTATTCCGCGAGCTACAGCTCACGGTATACTGAGCCTAGGGTGACGGGAGGACGCTAGTTTGTGTCCTCCCGTTACCCTAAGGAGAACTATGGGGAAAAGACCTAACCCCATAGTTCTCCTTTAAAATCTCAGGTACTGAAGTCCTTTAAACACACACCAAGGAACAAATCAAAAACAAAATGTTGGTCCCATATGTTTTTTACTCCTTATCCTGCTTGTTTACTGATCACCCACAATGCATAGGTGCAAGGCCATCGTTTTCTTTTATTACCAAAAGGAAGCATCTGCCCGCACTATAAATCACATGGCCAATGTCAGTGTTCTAAAAAGAAACTGCAATATCCAGCATCACTTTAGTCATGCAGAATTTGCATATGACATTCCCTTTGCAGTAAACCTAAGGATGTTGCTGGGAATGTCACATACAATGCTATCTATAGTAGCAAACCTCTGGATGAGGCAATGAGATAATTACAGCAGAGGTTAACGATTTGGAGAAATTATGTCTGTACAAACTGAGCTTAGGTTAAAAAACTCTCAAGCACAGCTGCAAAGATGACTACTATAAAGCAGTATGGGGGGAATTTATCAAAACTGGAGCAAACAGAATCTGGAGCAGTTGCCCATGGCAACCAATCAGCTTCTTTCTTCAGTTTGGTCAGGTAAGATTTGAAAATCAGACAGAGAAGCTGATTAACTGCAGGGCAAATCTGCTCCAATTTTGATAAATTCCCCCCTATGTGTCAGTTATACAAGAGGTATGTCAATTAGCACTTTGATAAGTTTTCAAAAATACATGGAGGCATCCAGAGGTCCAAAGCGGCCAAACGGTCATTGCTGTGATGTCAAACCTTTTAAAGAGACATCCCACTTTAAAATGAATATATAAATGCACAGCTCTTCACAAAACATAAATGTTATTTTTTTAAATTTTGCACAGGAGCCAATAAAGCATTGCCACTTTGATTAGTAGATTGCAGATGCAATGCTCTGACTCCTACAGTTTCTTCCCCCTATCCATGTTCATAACAAGATATGTACATTTCAATAACATGGATGGGGGAAGAGTCAATGGATTACAAGTGCAGTGAAGTTCAAACAGCAGCAGTAGTCTGCAGGGAGAAGAACCCCACGATTCAGGAAGGGAGGGGATGGGTGGGGAAGGAGTGTTTCGATCTGACCATGTTTCATACTACATCCTAAATATGGGTGTAAAATGAAACATGGCCCAAAAGGTAAACTTAGCCTTTGAAAGGTTAACATTAAAAACATAAATTCTTTAGTATTTCATTACCTTAAATGTTCAGGAGACTCAGGTGGTTGTGTTACTGATGGTGGATTCGGTATTTCTAGAATTTTGACAAAAAATACAACGTAAGATGCAAAATCACCTCTGCTAGTACTACAGTAGGTCTTCATAAAATGTAAGCAGGTGTACTGGAGACGGAAGCTAGTCTTTTCCAGGTTAGACAATGTAGAACCACTGAATAACAGATGCAATAAAGTCACCTTCTGTTTGGACTGTCAACATCCACTGAGCACTTGGAAATAAAGGTGCTTGTATGAATGAGGCCACACTTAAGTATTCAGTATATAAAAGATCACACTGTACCATGCACATCAAAAGTTTATCTACTGGAGTCTATGTGTGCAAAACCATTTGCTTTTGTATGTAAATACACATTAAACATACGGCTGAACAACAAACCATTCTAAATCCCCGGTTAAAGAATACAATGATGTAATAAGACATTGCCAAACATTTGTGAGTAAGGAGCAATGTCAAAATTCACATTACAATTCTAACCTACTGATAAACTAGTGGGCCGAAAATGTGAATAATCGTCCCTTTGATTAAAAGCCCACAAACAGCCTTTTACCGTATTTAATAGCATTTCTAAACACATAGTCTGTTTTTTTTTTTCATTTTCAACATCTACACTGGCTTGCCTCTACACTAGACTAGACTTGATTATAGAGGAAAGCCTTTTAGGTTTATTAGTTCCTACCTTTATACACTAAAGAGAACAAAGATCAGACTGCTAGTACACACAAAAGCAGCTAGAAATTCTGCTTTTATCTTATGCTATGGGCAGTGACAGCAATCGTAGTACACTTGATATTCCATCATGATAACATTCATGCAGCCTTAACATTACAGACAGCCTAATGTTACTAGTAAAGTCAATCAAGGTTCCATGCAATAACTCAATGCTTGACGTATATAATGGAAGATGGAAGCATCACTCTCCATGCAGTAAAAGATGATATACTGCAACAAAGATAAACCTTTATCTGCAAGAGCAGCATTACTGTGCTAGTCTATAATTCAAAGTATTGCTAAAATAAGAGATACTCCAGATGTATGGAATTCACTGTACGTGCAAAACATTTTGTATCCATCAGTGAATAGGTAAAGTCCATCAGTGAATAGTAAAGTCCCTAAAGCACCATGCAGTAGAGGTGTAGAAGTGGCTACACATATCTGATGTGATATCAATCCCATAAGAAACAGCACTATCCGATGCACATCAAAAGAGAAGACCACAACTTTATTATTAGCCTTTGATGCCAAGTCAAATCATCATTCTATTTATATAGTTACTCTGATGAAAAATCCAGATAGGTCACAAAATTGATCACAGCAAATGTGAGAATCCCGGCTTGTTAACATCCCTTAGAGAGCGTCGAACACGCCAGAGGAAAGGAGAGAAAGCACAGGGTCAGTTAGTAGGATTAAAGCAGTGAACTCACCTGGGAAGATAAACTGTTGTCTATGCTGAATGTAGTAGGCAGCTTTTAATAAAAGATGACAGCAACCACCCAGGCAGAATGAGAAAAACAAGCAGTTAGAGAGTATCAAGAGACCTGTCAGAGACTGCCCCACATGCACTTAGCCAATATAGTCTGCATGCTGACTGACTGAACACAGCTCTCGTCAATAAAAGTGTTCCTCGGCTCAATCTGCAGGGACATTTCCCCAGGTGGATAAAGACAAATGTTAATAGGATTTTTACCAGCCATTACACATTTGCAATGCTTCTAGAAACAGTCATGCAGGCACCTTTCACTTATAGCATTTTGCATGCTAATTAAATGTATCTCAACTACATGGCTTCACTGCCATTAACTTCATTTTAAAAGATCATGAATTGAGTTTTATTGTAGGAACAACAATGTATATACAATTGACATACACAATAGCCATTTCTCTTCTAATACAAGATCCAGCTTTTATATGCATACTACATCTATTCAATACACACAAGTGTACACACATCCACATGAGCACCCATACACACATCCACATTTTTATTTTATAATACTTTTTAAAAATAAAATCTAGGGTGTTTTAGTGCTGGCAGAGGAATGAGTAGTGAGGGTGCAGGGGGTGTTGTGCTGGCACAGTGGTGACAGAGGTGTGAGGGCTGGCAGAGTGTTGAGGGTTGGGGCTGGAAGATTAGGCTTGTGAAACACCTGCTAGCACTCCTACTACATTATCCTCTTGATTGATTATCCTCTAATCCCAAGTGCATAAAGTACACCAGGCCTAAACATCTTGACATCTTAAAAATAAGAAGCGCCCTGATGAAGGTGAGATGACATTTCAGATCCGTCACTACTGTTCATGCGCAGGATCCCGCCATCATATTTCTGACATAATATGGTGGCAAGATACCATGCATGTGTGGAAGTGGCAGTACAGAGTGGCCACTACCAGGAATGTGTGGGATCTTGCTGCCATATTATGATCTCAGAAACAGGGTGCCAGATGCCACACAGGTGTGGTAGTGGCATTACTGATAGGCATGGTCACGTTAGCGGCTTCAAAGATCTGCGCTACTGTACATGGCAAAATATACAGTACTGGCACCATATTGTTTCATCACAGTATCCACACACAGTACTTGAGTGAGCCATGTGCACTACAGAGCCAGAAGCTAGGGAGGTGCACAAATGCCAGTTGTATTCACGCACTTGCAGGGCACAGAGCGCACACATGATGCAGTGACAGAGGCTGGAGTATGGTCGCTGTATACGTGCATGTGAACGGACAGAATAGGGAGATGCTAATTGCATACTCTCTTGCATCTCATCTCTTCTAAGTGACGCAACCACCCACCATCTGGGAAGGTCCAAGGGGGGTAAAAGTATTCTATAAAAATAAGCATTTGGTTTTCTGAAAACATAAAAAGTGAAGGCCCAGAACAACCATAATTCAAATGGTTATTGGTGAATGGTGAGATGTGACTACAATTACAAGAAGCAAAACTTTTGAAGTTTGGTCTTAAAAAGCAGAACAAAATGTAAAAAATATAGTAGTGCAGTAGTACACAATGCTTTTCATATCTGGAACTGCTTAAGAACTTCACCATCTTGGAGAGGTCCAAGGGGATAAAGGTATGCTATAAAAATTGCCCTTTTTAAATCACCTTTTTTTTTTACTTCAATCACACAAACAACTAATCTAATGCTTACCATATATTATTATTATTATTGGTTTTAACCTGTAATCTCCATTTCAACATAAAGATGAGGAAAAGAAGATGCAATTTTCTTGTATTCTTCTTAATATAACTATAGGATATACAGCTCAAAGGAAGCATACCATATAATAAAACATGATAGTGGCTTGTGCTTAGTGCTGTGCTCTTGGGTTTTATTCAGCAAAGCTCCCTCATTATTTGTATGGACTTCTTCCATGTACTGCAGCTTTCTTCCACGATCCAAAAACACAAAGGCAGATTAAATGGCTTCTGCCCTAATTGACCATAGAGTGTGAGCATTAGGGATATTCAGTTATAGATCCAACTAGGGCAGCAAGTACTGTTAAATGGTTTATAACCTTTGTAGTGCACTGTGGAATAAAGAATAACTACAAATGCAGGCTAGCAGTACATGCCATCCATTAAATGATTTCAGTTCTTCGCGTGAAGACATTAAGGGGAACCTATCAATATAGAGATAAGGGAGCTGCTACTGCTGACTTGGTTTAATGGTATTGCTCCAGCACTTTTAACCTCATTCTTGCATTACTTGGTATGTCACTATACAAGCATGTTGAGAACATGGTGATAGATCCCCAAAAACATGAGTTGTTTTTGAGCTATTTTTTTCTGAAAACATAAAAAGTGAAGGCCCAGAACATTAAGAATTCAAAGGGTTATTGGTGAATGGTGGGATGTGACTACAATTACAAGAAGCAAAACATTTGAAGTATAGTCTTAAAAAGCAGAAGAAAAAAATGGAAAACATATACAATAGTAGTGCAGTAGTACACAATGCTTTCCATCTCTGGAACTGCTTAAGAACTTCACTGGCTTCACTACTTGTTGACTCATTGACCTGGGGCACCTGACATGCCAAAGCTTATTACGGGTCAGTAACTTAATAAGTATTAAAGCAAAGATAGGAAAGACAGTCCTGGAGCATGTACCTCCAAAAGCAAGTCGTCAATGACAGCTTCCAAATTTCTGCCCACCCAAACTGACAATATTGTTTTGCATGTGTGTAACCATGGAAGGGGCCACAGAATGGAAGCGCTTTTGGGTTCAGTGATGTAAACAGTTAATTGTAATGAACAGGTCAATGTAAGTAGCGTTTATGTAATTGCTGCAAAATATGTTGGTGCTACATAAAAAAGAAAAACAAATAGTAGTAAAAGTATTTGTTAAATAATTACAGTAATATTTAGGATAGTGTTTCTAGAATACAAATAGGTTAAAAGCAATTTACAAATATTGTTGAGACTAGATGTTATAATCAATTACTTGTTAAATGGAAAGTGCCTGAAATATAAAGAATAGAACATAACTGTGCATTTTCATACACATACAAAGAAAGAGGGAATTATTCACCACATATGAAAAACTGTTTAAAAACCATTCACATGTATATCAAAAGGTCTTTAGGTTTTATGGTTTCACTAGAACTATTATGAACACTGACAGCATAACACACAAGTTCTGGTGAATTGTTTTCCTCTTCTCAATATGCAGGGCAGTAACGGATGACATGAGCACAAAAGAATTTCTGTAATGCGGTGATCTAAATAAAAAATTAGAAACACGGCAACTCGAATGTGTGTCTTATTTTTTCCAGGCAAAAGTTGACTGAACTTTAGTGCAGCAGTGTGCCAGTAATCTGTTTGTCTGGAGTCAGTGAATGAGTGAGCGGTCCGCACAGCTGCCAAAGAACAAAGTCAAACAGCTGTTGCTCTAACTTGCTCCTTTAAACTATTTTTGCTCTGGCATCTTGCTGTAATAAATATAAAGCATAAGATTAACCATGTAACTGAAACCCCTGCTACCTTGCTTGTGTGAGTAGTTATAGTTCCAGATCCAGAACCCTCACTTGTTACACCCTACTAATTGAACAAACTCTACAAATGCCACCTTGCTACCTCTTCTCTTAATCCCATTTTACTAATACATATACATGCAGGTAAAAGCAACCGTTTTGATTTACTACCCCTTTTACCTATGCTAAAAGTAGTCTGTAATTTACTGACCTGGAAAGAGTCATCAGAACATTGACTCGTCTCTTATCAGATGGATTATTCAGAGATTTCTATCAGACACTGACGTTCTTGTCTCTTTAGCTAGATCATAGTGATTTGGAATTTCTTGTCATGTAATCATTTTTCTTTTTAAAAACATTATATAAGTAAAAACAATTAAAACCAAGCCATAATAGTTTCACTTTAAACTGACCTTAGAAAGATAGAAATAGGAGAGCTACACGCTGCCACTGTTGAACTGGTTTTTCTGGACTATTCTAGTAATTCTGGGTTTCCTATCAAGTGAGCCAATGACCTGAAACATTCATGCACGTTAGTCCAGACTTTTCAGACTTCACTGGCTGTACGCCTGCTCCAGGTGGTAAATTCAAAAGCAGGATGACAGCCTAGAAGGATGCTCCTTTAAAAACCAAGAAAGCAATAGCAGCTCCCACATGCCCAGACGCAGGAAGGAAGTTGGCCATGTAGATACCATTCACTCTCCCTCCAGCACATGTAAAAGTCCTTCATTCGTCCTTCATTCATCCAAATATTTCTGTGAATGTCAGTGGGCACAGGGTATAGGCAACCATATTATAATCTTTATTTAACAGCCTGTATAACACTCTTTCCCCTTCTGACCTGCCCTCTCTAATAGAATAAATTATTCCACCACATAAAATGTACCATGGATACAAACGAAGTGTTCATCTCCTTGACTTAAATCAGTCTCAACAACATTTCAATTTCCCCAACTCCTCAAGCTTGCTGTTAAGGGGTTATTTTTTTTTGCCTCTTCGTTCTTCCACACATTCATGTTTTCACAAGTGCTTGCTGTCCCATGAAAACATATCTAACTTCATGCACAAGTATTAATAGTGCTGGTGTACTCGCCATCTATTCAGGTTTTTAAACACACCCTTAAATGCCACAGTATCATAAAAGCACATCACTTTGCTTCACAACATCTTTTCCCCATGTGATATTATCTGATTTTACCCAAGACAATACTGTTAATCTGCAACCCACCTAATCAAGGTTGTGACAGTCAGAAGTTGACTCTGTTGGGCTGCTGTGCTATCATGCTGAAGTCATAACTATTGCATGCATCAGTTTGCCTCCTTGTTTTAGTACCTTTATACCTCAAAATGTGTTTGCATATTGCTGTGTAACAGATGGCTAAAAAAAAAATCTATGTAACATGCTATGACAATAAAAACAACTATAAATCTCCCTTGCCCAACCACCCCAAAAAATGTCGACTGTCCAGATAAAAGTTCCTAAAGATGGAAGATAATTGTGCTGACACACATCAGTGATTCAATAGAGCACACACATACTCATACTTTTCGCTAATCTTTGATTTTAGATTCACAGGCTTGCAAAACAAGCTGTAATCATAACTGAGATGATAGATATTGTTCATGACCACTGGGAACAAGCCATGATAAATGTTCACATATTTCTTTAGATACAAATTAGGCACAAAAGACAACCTTGTACATACTGTGTGTATGTTATTTGGCTTGTACAAGGCATAGTAGGAGTTAACACCCTATTTGGCTAAAGCTGTGTTCATATTGATTAAATATTACAATATATTATTCATGTGGCATGCACACAGACAGAAAGAAAGAATAAGACATAGGCAGACTGTAGCTGTATTTAGTGGAGCTGGTTAACCCCCAGCCACACTGGTAAGACAGTGCCATGAGCTTCTATACTGCCAGAAATCTCAAGACTTCATTTTTGGGACACACGCGCGAAAACAACAGCATGTAGTATGCAAGTTGAGTAAGCAACCCATTATAATAATCTAATTATTCACAGCAAATACAGGGTTTACATGTTTATTTAATGTCACCTCTACATAAAAGGGAATTTCCAGGAGTAAAGTTAGATTACTCCTAGTGACTACTACATTTGACCAGAGAGTCTTAAAGTCACACTCAGAATCAAGAGTTATTTCATACTAACCATTATGATATACTTATACCGCAAAAGGTTGAGTTTATTTTGCCCGTGAAGGTTTTTTTTTTTTTACAACATATGGCATTAAAAACACATACATGTGCATGCAGCTTCACAGAATCACATACAGCCCTGTTTTATGAGTAATGTTATCAACCAAAGGGCTCTGTTGACACTGGTATGGTTACTTGGGACCTTGAAGACAGTGTGTTATTAGAACAGGATGTTGGCAGAAGGCCTCTCATTTGTGACTCTTAGCTCTAACACTCATCTTCTTTAGTAAAGGTGAATAACAGGCCAAGTATAAAATAATAGAAAGTTAAGCTCAAATGTTCAGACTCTTGCACAAGTTCAGCTTTGACTGGTTCTTTTTATCATCTACAAGCATCATGTATAACTCTGTTGGGCATGACTATACTGGAGTTGGAGACATTCCTAGTATTATAATAAAGACTAAATTTAACACACTTTCATGAAGTTTTATCTAAGAACTGGGAAAACTATACGCAAAACATAAAAATATGCTTTAACACAGTGTAAAGCAAGACTAAACTTGCTTTAACAAAAACATCACCAAGAAGCAGAGTTTTCCAACAGAAGAGACCTGCAAAGTATCTATTGCCAAAAACCTTTTATCTGGTTTCTTGTTACTTTTTGTTTTTGGTGTACAATGCACGGCACATGCATAATGCATGTGTACAGCCTGACTATTCTCTGCGTGCTGAAAAGAGTTAGGTGTTGGAGACAATGTAACCAACGCACAAACACAGGAGTTACATCATTTGCGGCTGCCAAATGACTGAAGAGAATCAAAGCGGGACCCAAAACAATTGGCAGCAGAGATGAGGGTGGGGAGTGGTGACAGGATCCTGGACCCATTATATCTGGAGAACAGCATAGAAAGAGGTAGGTGTGCGTTATAAAGATGCAAGTATGCTTTGCATACTTCCAAATTATGGCAAAAGCTCATCCCCACCGATGAGTTACTTCTGCTTTAAGAATTTGTTTGTTTTGTGATTTCACCATCAGATATGTTACCTGGAAAATTGAAACGACTGTCTTTAAGCCCCATGGGAGAAGGGTTTGGTGGTGTGATTGCACTGGAAGGATTTGAGGTCTGGAAAGGTGCTGGAGAAGAAGGTGTAGAAGAAGTAGTTGAAGATGGATTGCTGCTTGAATCCAAGTGATTTATTGCTGGAGGATGTTCCTACAAACCAAGAACATGAATGTAATTAAACTTTAAGGAAACCATGAAAATGTAAAATCAAAGTCATTAACAGGCTGAGGGACAAGGACAGCCTTGTCCCCTCAACAAAGCAGTTTTCCTTATTTTTACTAGTTCATACATTTTGGTAAAGGAGGAGATGTATGCGTGGTAAAAATTGGTGGCAACAATTATAAGAAACCTTCTCTGTAATACCATGTATCAGTGGCAAATAACTAAATTTTACTATTACCACAAGAAATACAGCTGGTTTACTCTGCACAGCGATTCACTTAATTTGATAGTCTGTGAAATTAACCAAGCGGTCCATAAGCAGCTTAGATAATTTGGTTGCATCTCCTACATAACATGTTTCACAAAATGCTTTAATGGCTTTAATGCAGCCCTTCCTAGCACCTATTCAGCTTTCTTTCACTCCATCACTCTGTTAAAACTGCCAGCAGCCCTGTGTATGCTTTGAATTGCTTAAGTTGAGCTTAAACAAGGGCTAAGGACTTGTTAATTGCCCCAATGTGACAGCACTGGACAAAATCACCAAGCACTAGCTCTGTTACATTAGGGAGTCACCTAATCTTTCATACCCAGAACAACCGAATGATTTCTTCACTTCCGTAAATTGAATGGAGCCATGTGGCAGCAAAATAAGGTATGTTTTGCTAGGGAGGGGGCAATAAAGTGAACCTTTTGTTGTGCCCTGCATGGTAACTGAGATTTGTGGCTTACTTAACGTAAAGAAGAGAGACTATGAGTTAGCTTACAAATGTTTGGATCTTTCCCCAATAAGTGGGGAAAGATCCAAATCCTTCATATGAGCATCCAATGACTGACCTGGTATAAATATTTAATAAATTACTCCATCCTCTGGTTAACAATTATAAAGTCTTGTAATAAAGATATACTACACCCATACAGTTGTGGTGTGTTACCCAGAGGATGAGATTTGATAATTCCTTCATATTCAGATAATGAAAACTGCCTGAAAAGTGAATTTTACATTTCCATACCTAAAGCAACTCTGTTGCTAAAATAAAACAATAAATAGAAATGTTGCCTGGAAACAAGATATTAAATGCTTACCTCTACCTGTGTTGGTGTGCGCTACTGTAATAAAAAGAAACTAACACCTGATGTAGCCGCATCAAATTCCTGGTCCTCTGCTGCGCTCAGTGGTCCTTCCAGTCAACTCCTGCATCACTATTGTGTCCTGTGGTTGTAAAGGCTTACCTTTTTTGAAGGGCTCCCTGCAGCTCCTCTGATTCTACCCATGCTGCATCCCACGCTGGTGAGTTCGGGTCCTGGTACACTTACGCTGACTTGTGTGGCCGCAGTGCTCAGTGTCCTGTGGCGGCCTCACCTTTGGCTCCTCCTCTTTGCTCCTTATTGGCCATAATCTCCTATATGCTGGCAATATAGCGAGGTTCAGACTAAGTGTCTGTTAGCCAGGCAATGACTTCTCCCTCCTCCCTTCATGCTGCCTTTTGGTTTATCTTTTTTCAGCACCTGATTGAAACCACACAGACACTGTGCTTGTGCTTGTGATTTACCCACGTGCCTCACTAGCTACCATTGCCCTTATTTCATCTGCCTGTGCACTGACCCTTGCCTGTATATTGACCATGTTTTTGCCTGTGCTGACCCCTGACTGTTATTGGCCACTACTTCTGCCTGTTTACTAACCAAGTCTCCGCCTGCTACCTGGACTGACCTATTGCCCGTTTACCAACCATGTCTTTGCCCGCTGCCTGAACTGACCTCTTTGCACATCCCTTTGATTATGCTCTGGCCTAGGCAACAGTCCCTGTCATACTCTGCAGACATCTGTATCATCCTGAACAGGGGTACTATTCATCTACCAATCCTCATCGAGCCTATGATACCTGGTCAAACAATATAGGATTGTGTATTAAGTCCTGGAGGTAACCAATTACCGGTAGGCCTGTATGCGTTAAGGGAACATGGGCTGCTACAGGTGAAAATACACTTGCCAGCTATACTCTCTGACCACTTGTACAGTAGTGGATATTAGTGATATAGGGGACAGCCGAAGGAACCAACGAGAGCAATGGGGGACCAGAAAATTAGGAAGAACCAATGAGAGCAGTGGGAAAGCAGGAAATTAACACTAAAACAAGTGATGGTTTCTGAAAAGTCTTCAGATGGTGATTTCTCTTCATTAGAGAAGCTTTCTATTATTTACCATCTACTTTGCAGGGAACACGTTTAATGACAGATTCATTTTAGCAAGTTGCTTTAACTGTGGAAAAGATACCCAATTAAAATGTATTAGAGGTGCTCTGTCCTGCAGGCCTACAGGTATTAACATTTTCCTACAAGACTTTAATACCTTCTTGGTAAGAGCTTTGGGAAGAGTCCCAAATAGTGGTTCTGGTGGTCTGTCCACTTGGTTGTTAATATCCGATGGGACAGATTCTGTTCTTCTTATTTTTGGTACTGGAAATGACAGAAACAAAGAAGATTGTTAACTGAACCGTGTCTTATAGCTATATTAATAAAAAAAACAGAGCAAGAAGACATAAGTGTAAAATAAGGTGCCAATTCCAAACAACCAGAATACATCTTATCCTGGTCTCCTCAGAAACATGCATTGGTATTGGTTGCTAAGGTTTATTGCTCTTGGAGCCTAGTCTTTTACTCCTTGCACCATTTACTGAATAAAGATGTCAAGATAGTCATTCAAAACAAATGAATAACTATTAGGTACTTTAAAAGAGTGTTTTACTTACAAGGAAGAAATGATATTCTACATGGTGGGGCTTCTTTTGTACATTTGTTATGGCATTTTAACCTGAAAAAGTGTAAGATAATATATTTAAAAAACAATTACAAAACTCTTTTTTACTTATTGTGGTAAACATGGCAAGCAGTATAACAGATTTTTCTTTGCAGGTTGCTAAAGAAGTCTATCATTAATGAAAATCCCAGAAAGAGGGCATTTATTATAACAGAGATGCTAAAAACAGACCAATGTAAATCAGAAAAAAAAAATTAAAAATGATCTACAAGCAGCATTCCAACAGAATGAAGGGCTAAGGTATTGGGATAATGCTTATAACCTGTTGATAGCACCTGCAAAGAACATTTGTTTGGCAAGAGAGCATATACAGATAAATATCAACATAGGAAAAACTAGGAGTTCTAAAACAATGCAATAATTCACATATTCATACTTTAATAGCCCTCATATCTTTGTATACTGACTAACCAGCATTTTCATGTGTACATTTAAATGCAAATACAGGCACAAGCCTTCAATGACATACATATAGTTTTGGCAGAGGACAACAAACCTAAAAACAAAACTAAGGTACCAGTCCTGCCTTAATGATCAATAAGCTCCTCTAAATGGTTGATCAATAAGCTCCTCTAAATGGTTGTACAATTTCTATGAAACAGACAGGGAAAGTACAGTTAACAAATGTAACAATTTCGGGTATATTGCAAACACAATAATTGTGGGCAGCAAGGTGAAGATTTGCATAAAATTTAAGCGTTTCGTGTTCAAATAAAAAAAAAATCTGGCTAAGTGAGTGTTGTAGATATAACACAGATATATGGAAGGGAGTCCGCTAACAATATCTAGCATGCATGTAGCAGCAGTGAGAAATGAAAACCAACAAAACCACAGAATTGAAAGAATGTCTGCAATAAATAAACCAAGAGAGTAAGTAGGTATAACTCACCTGCAGTGCTTACATTTCACTCCAAACATCATACTTTTTTGACAAACATGACAGATTTGAGATAACCAAGATTTTGTAGAAAATCTGTTAAAAGGAAAAGATGTACAATTCACTTACATGAAGCCTTCACCAGTAACATTAGGTGAAATATTACTAAACTGTGTACACTTATCCACTACATTCACAGTGAATTCACACCAGATGCGCTGGAGCCACAATAGATGTTTTTTCCAGCACAGACCCAAAGCAAGACAAGGCAATTTGCCTTGTCACGGATGGACACCATTCATGCCACCACGGTGGAACGAGGTGGTGTGAACGGAGTACAACTGCCTCACCATGCACATAGAACTTAATTAAATCTCACTTGTGAAATTTCAATAAAGTGCTAAAAAAAAGTACACAGTACGATGTGGGATCGGCACATGAGCACTGTGCTGGGCACTGCACACTAGCTGCTGTGCAATGTAGCACAGCGGCTAGTGTGAATGGGCCCTAAAACACTGAGAAATTCAGGTGTGAGCATAGGCCATACTTCCCATCTAGAGTTTGTATAATCTCCAGCAGGCTAATTCCAAGAGGCAGTGGAAAGCACAATGTAGATGTGCAAAGTGCAGTTATTCAAAACAGCCCATTACATTTTTAGTTGACAGACAAATCAGTTAAACAAACTGACTGGCTGGTATGGATTACTAATGTGCTCGAAACTTTATTGAATAAACCTACAAGAAACAAAATACAGATGGGCCCATTAGGGGGTACAAGCATGCACAGATAATGATCCTATATAGCTAGTATCCTTCTACACCTGAATGGAAATGTAACTTGTTAACTATGCTAATGTTAATTTTGAACACTCTGGTGGCAGTGTACTAGGTTTTAAATTGGAGACATTTACATTTAATTGACATATAACTGAATTAGTGAGAGCAAAAGTGTGTGTGTGTGTGTGTGTGTGTGTGTGTGTGTGTGTGTGTGTGTGTGTGTGTGTGTTTAACACAAGTTATTTGAGCACTGGTGAGGACACACCCAATAAAAGTTTTTCTTATTATAGAAAATGCATAATAAAATGACATAACTAACTTTAAAATTTAGAATGTAGGACACAAAGGCGGTAGCTGTATTAATTATCCTTGCGCATAATTCTTCATGTATTATAACAAAACTGCATGTTTTTTTTATATACCTTAAAGTGACACTAAACTCCATTCAAGTACCTTATTAACACAATTATTTGTGTATCACTCGGCTGTAGATCCTCAAATAATTTATGAATTGGTGCTGACACTGTCCTTCCTTCTGGAGGGTGACTACTTTTGTTCCCCATGGTCCCTGTGTGTGCTGTAAAGTAGCCATAGCTCCAAGCTCACTCCTGTGATGGACTACAATCTGAATATAAATTAGTAAACTAAACGTGAGATTGTAGTCCATCACAGGAGGGAGCTTGGAGCGGTGGCTACTTTAAAAACACACACAGGGACCATGGGGAACAAAAATAGCCACCCTCCAGAAGGAAAGACAGTGTCAGCATGAATTCAGAGATTATTTGAGAATATACAGCGAAGTCATGTTAAGGGAAGCGTCCAATTTTGTAAAGCCTGACATACAAAGAAACAGCCCTATTGTGAGTGACCAGACCACCATGGCTACATACAGCTGATGCCAGAGGTGCCTGTCACTTCTAGAGGAACATGGGGCACTGGAAGAACAAGGGATTCCAATGGCTTGGCAGGTCCAGGAGTGCCACTGAAGCTTTTCCTAATTTAGGCAAGGTCTAGCATAGGTCTGATTTCTATGCAAGTCTAGCCCCGTGTAATACCAAGGTCTGCTGAAAATGGACATTATAACTAATTCAAGCAAAAATATAAATAAATGACCTATAATTCATATATTTTACAATGAAAGCCTTACCTATGCGTTACTGAAAGTCCTATATCTCGCCGTACCATCTGTGGTGATCCTTGGGGAGCATCTGTAAGGAAGGACATATTCCTCAAATAGATCTATTGCTTACACTGGTAAAACTCAGCCACTTCACTGTGGCAGAATACATGGCTGTAAATAATCTCAACACAGAAAACGTACAGTGCTTTTTAATATACACAAGGTATATGTCACATAGATGTACACCTATGACTGTTAGATTAGGTTTAAACAAGAACTCCAGGTTTTAGAAAAAATAACCTTTGTAGTGGGGCTACCCCTGCACTGCAAGGATTAAGTGCCCGTTTCTCCCTAGGGGTGAAAATAAAGAAAAAAATACTCACCTGATCCGTCGGTCCAGTCTGACTGTTAGACCGGTTCTCGCAGCCTCTTCTCCCTCGGGCTCTGGCAGTTTTAAAGACCTGTGACGCCATAATGTCTAATACAGGTCTATTAGACGTGAAGTCATCAAGCGACATATCACAGCCGGAGGTGAGAGAGGGGAGAGCGGTCACTGCCACATGACCAAGGATCAGGTGAGTATTTCTTTATTTTTTCTCCTGGAGAAAAACAAGCAGTCAACCATTGCAGAGTTAATTTTTCTAAAACCTGGAATTCTTTTTAAAAAAGTGAAACATTTTCTAATGAAGTTGTAGGCAGAATATACAGTTTTCACTCCTGAATTTACAACAAATGTCAGTTAAATTAAAGTCGTAAATAACAGGTACATATGGGGTATATAGGAGTCTTGACAGAATTTTTTTTTTTTTTTTTTATTGGCTTTTACTGGCTTTTTTATAATCCTCAATTACTAAACTGTGTACACTTATCCACTACATTCACAGTGAATTCACACCAGATGCGCTGGAGCCACAATAGATGTTTTTTCCAGCACAGACCCAAAGCAAGACAAGGCAATTTGCCTTTTACTCATACTTTAGACAGTATTATGTGAAATGACGCTCGCTAAACAACCTCTCAGAAAGATATATTTATGATTCAATTAGGATAATTGTAAAGTATGCCATTTCTGCATGCGTTAGGAAAGTTTATATTTTCATGCCACAACTTTGAAATGTAAGAAATTAGGAAAACACTAAGGACCCTTTTACACGGGCATTCCGATCAGGACCTGACTGGCAGCCTGATCTAAACGAACTTGCCTCCATTTACCTCCAACTCCAGAAAACCAAAACGGGACAGAGTTCTATTTTGGCGGACCTGATAGTGGCGGATCGGGGGTACTCTGATGCAAACAAACACACGTCCGTTTACATCCGACTCCCCCAACACGGGTACGATAATTTAAGTTTCAAATTGGATAGATATAGATTTCAAAATTATGAATTCTGTGCACGATTCAGAACTGAAGGCATCTGTTTAAAAGGGGCTTTACAAAGCATGTCCAAAACATTGGTTCCTGCAGGACTGTATATCAATACCTCTGACTATTTAAAGGGTACTATAAAATATATATTTTTTAACCGCATCTCTGTATTCTGCCGCAAGTAATACAATATAATCCTCAATTTCGTTCAATTACAATTTATAACCAAAGCTAATTACAGTAATTGCAGAGCATCATGTGTTTAAAACTTTTTATAATGATATAATTACATATATTTTATAAAAAAATTACAACACAAGGGGCTGATTTACAATGTGTTTGTGCAGCATTTAGCTGTGCAAATGACATTTGCAGTGTATTACTGCCACTGCACTACAAGATGAAGCTGAGAACTTCCTATGCACTCTGTTATAAATCAGCTAGGACTATGACCTATGACGCACTATGACCTATGACGCACTATACCAGGGGTCATTTTAGCACTCAGCTAAAGAGTGCAGAGAAAACTGTTTTGTGTGGTGCAACACAGACACAACCAGTAACTGACACTTTTGATGACACAGGAAGTATAGCATCTATGCAGCATTTAGACAAGTAAACTGTCAGTTTAATGCATGTGTGTAATATATGAGCACATTTACTCTATAGCAGACCTAGCTACAAATTAATACTAATTGGGAACAGGGAAGGACTGAACAGTCAAGGGGACATGCACGGTGACCAATCCAACAGAAATACAGAACAGACTATATATTAAATATTTATCACAAAAATATGCTGAATGTCTTAAAATACTCTTCTGTCGTTTTCCGTCATCCATATGTGTATAATGTGAGTGCTTACCAAACCTGCAAAACAGAAAAACAAAATGTTTTAAAGATTTTAGGATACATACAATGTTTTTTTTCAAAATCCTACAATCTCATCTTGAGCATCTACATAATGTATGCCCAAATGGCACTGCATGGGCTTTCCTATTTTTACTATAGGGCCTAGGTCCTAACATAATTACTTATCTCTACCAGGAACCAGGTATTCCTGGCAAACATGCTGCTTTGTTATATTTTCTTTTCACATCCATTTAGTCGAAATTTAAACCTGTTAAACTAAAGAGTGCACCCTTAGGCCTGGTTCACACCTGGGCGTAGAGACACGCTGTTAAAAACGCTCAGCATGTGAAATCCAATAATTGCCTATTGGCATGGTTCCCACCTGGGCGTATTTCAGCGCGTAGGAACGCGCTGAAAAACGCCCTATGCCCAAAGTAGTACAGGAGCTTCTTTGGGCCGCAAATCGCGGTAAAACGCGCGGCACACACGCATATTCCGCACGCCCAGGTGTGAACCGAGCACACTGACTGTTGCTACATTTATTATTCAGAAAAGTAAAATAAGTGAAACAAAAATCAGAGGAAGTTTTTATGGCCAAGAAAGGTTATAGCAGGCACCTTGTGTTGCCCTCAGACAAAAAAAACTTTAAATGTTTCAAATAGCGGATAGGTCCACTTTAAAAGACTTCCCTTTGAAAATAAGTTCAAGAACAGATGGGAACACTGAAAACTTAGCAGGTTGCTTATCACTGGTCTAAATACTAAACCAACAGAAAACTAAGAACTACACTGAAGCCATCTCATGCAGCACATAGCAGTGCAGGTTGTGGTGATCACTAAATTGCAGCATGGTTAAAATTTTCTATTGCATGTGAACTGCAGTATTAAAGCACTTTGTGCGAATACTAATATTTGGGTTTGCTAGGTTGCACAATGCATGATGTATAGTTTATGATAAACAAACTTGCAACACCCACCTAAGTATAAAATGAATGTACTACCTATGTTCAGTACAGATAAAGTCATCAGTACTGGGATACTTATTTACTATAGCATATTTCATATTCTGTCCATCTTACAGATGTATATGATCCATGCTAGCACAGTTAGCTGAAGACAAAAGCCATACTGGACACAGGAATACATATATAAATGGTTTAAATATATGACAATTTTGCATTTATTTAAATTACATAATGCAAGAGCAATACCACATACTGTATATACTGTTACATTTAAAAAACAAATATTCCATGATTTAAAGACTATTTGAGTTGATGCCACCTCCTGCTGGTAGAAGACTGTACATGAAGGATGATCTAAATTTTGCCAAACTCTAGACCAGGACTGGACAGGGACCGAGTGGTGGTTTTGTCTGGATCGCAATCGACAACTTGTGCTGGGTTATGGCTGGCAGTGGAAACACTGGCCTCAGAGGCCGGTGTATCCACTGTCAGCCATAACCCAATGCAGGGCCCCTCTGTGCTTCAGTCATTGGTTGCTAGGACTGCTGGCTGGCTGTATAGCCACCCAGATCATTTGTATTAGCCATGATCTAGCTCTAGACAATGAATACGTTTCCAAGCTTAGGAGCGGTTTCTAACCATCCATAACAAGGTCAACAGTAGAATAAGCTGCCTAGAAATCCAGTAATTCCAAGGATATTCTAACATTACAAAGACTTACAAATGTGCTAGGCACACGCTATGTGACAAACCTAGAAAGGTCAGACAGCAGCAACACCTGTAGCACTGCAAGCGAACAAAATTTGATTTAATGCCCATTGTAATGTTAAGAATTAAACATCTTAATTTAAAGGGTATGCTAGTTCAAATATTTCATTCTAGCGATAGGCTCACTAGAAGTTATAATAGTATTCTTTATCACCCAATGCATTATATGTTGTAACATAAGTACATTGTGAGTATATTAAAGTGACACTAAATTTAGGAGTTAAATCCTAAAAATGCATTCAAGTACCTTAACGCTCAACAAAACTGTAGGTTATTTGTGTATTACTCAGCTGTAGATCCTCAAATCCTCCTTCTGGAGGGTGGCTACTTTTTTTCCTCATGGTCCCTGTGTGTGCTGTTGGGTAGCCACCGCTCCAAGCTCCCTCCCGTGATGGACTACAATCTCATATTTAAATTTACTAACTTGTATATATATTGTAGTCCATCACAGGAGTGAGAATGGAGCGGTGACTACTTTACAACACGCACAGGGATCATGGGGAACAAAAGTAGCCACCCTCCAGAAGGAAGGATGTGTCAGCACCAATTCAGAGATGATTTGAGGATCTACAGCAGAGTGATACACAAAAAGGATACAGTTTTGTCGAGAGATAAGGTACTTGAATGCATTTTTAATATTTAACGCCTGAGTTAGTGTCACTTTAATGTGATCAAATCAACACAGAATTCGAACTCAGAACTATTCATCTAAACCTACTTTAAGGGAGGAACTTCATCTATTCTGTTTCCAAGCTGTGATTCATGAGACTTGCTTCTTTTGAGTGTTGAGAAATTAGGCAGCAGCTGCTGAAAGACTTTACGGCTAGGTGGAGGAGGTGTCCGAGGAGGCTTCAACTTCATATGCCTCTTTGACAAAGGTGTTGTAGGTGGCGTTATTGTAATTCCATGAGGAGTCCTCAGTGTTAACCTATTGCTTGGTGTGGAGGAGGGGAAAGGATCCTGGAAGCTCTCAGGATACATATAAGATCCATGGGATTCAGAAACAGGGATTGCAGACACTGATATTGAGCGAGGCTGATGGCTGTTGGCCTTTGAAAATGGAGTGTTTAAAATCCAAACTGCACCCACTGGGGATGAGAGGTCAGAAGGAAGTTGGGAAGAGCTTTCTTTCCTGTTTTCATGGGGACTCCATAATGTTTCCTTCATGTCACCACCTAAACAGATTAAAAAGACAGATATTTTATTTTACAAACACACAATAGGAATAAGCAAAACTAGATAGAATGTATGGTAATGGAATTACACTTCAGAGAAGGGCATGCTTATCATTTTAATTGGGAAACGCATGCAAGTTGGAAGATAGATCTTTGATCTTCCTAATGAATACCAAATTAGAGGTAAATGAGTAAATGACCACCACTCAACAGCATGCTCAGGTGGTATGCAATCATCTTAAAAACTAACTAACCAAAATGTACAAGTATCTTTTTGACATATTCACCAACCATTCAAACTTATTAAACCCTCCCCAGATGTATACTTACCTGATCTGAAATCTGTTTTGATCCTCTGGCCAAAATCCTCTTTCCCCTGGGTACATCTGTGCAGTTGATCCCTACAGACTTCTATGGAAGTTTATGGGTACCATCTGCACAGGTGTGGTCCCAAGCTGCCCGACATCCAACACACCCATAAGAGCACTGAATGTAGAAGATTCTTCTGCAGAAGTATTTTTCAGGACAAAAAAAGAATGGTGACATTCGCACTGGAGTCAATTTTTAGAAGCAGTATTTTTTATACTTAATTCAATGTCAAAACACACAGCTAGAGTTTTTGTGCGTTGTCTACCACAATAAAGTTGATTTTCTACTTATGAGAATTGCTAAGTACTGTTCATCCACCATTTATTGTTTGAAACCACAGTAACACTCTTTGTTAGATAGGAAAAAAGCTACATAGTCTTCGAATGTAACTGCAACTGCCTTATATCTCTGATCTACTAAATTTTCTGACATGTGGTTTTCACTGACGGTAACCTCTTCTTATGAATTATCACACCATATTTCCCAGCACTCTGACAGGTTTACTTTAATCTATCACATATTTTTAGACCTTGCTGCCTTTAATCATTACACTTCATAGATTTTAACAAGCTAAAACATGTTTACATAAAGCCTAAAACAATATCAGTTCACATATCTTACAGCAAAGGGATCACTAAAATGACTGCAAATATTTTGTTTTGATACTAAATGTATCTGTTTAGTTTTAAATACTTGACTGCATAAGTATTTTCCCTCTGCTGTGAAACCTTTACATGAGCTATGTTGTAACTGTCTTTAGAAATCACATACGTTCAATACTGTCCACCCGTGTGCTAGTAGTGTCACATGATCTCAAAATAAACACATCTGCTTCTGGAAGGCCACAGTTCATTAGAGAGAATATCTACGTAAATAGCATTTATAAGACCAAACATTTATCATAAGTTCAGGATAAAGTTCTAGAGGACTATCCCATACTGTGAATACCTACCACAGTAATTTTAAATCCAATACTGAAAAATTGAAAGACTATGGCAGAAGTGCAACCAATGATCACAGCATTGTTTACGCAATTTTAACAGACAACACAACCAAAATAGTACAATAAATCTACTACCTGCATTATAATAATAATAATAATAATAATAATAATAAAAAAGACAATTAGAACATGTATGTATACACAAAGTACTCTCTCTCTCAGTTTTGGGATGCCTGATTTTTATATAAACATTTCTAGTACATAAATTAATGGGAATGATTGACCACCTGTGAATGTGTAGTGATTAACACATTCACTGCATTCACAAAGTAAATATATAGAATTTTGGCGAGAAGGATAAGCAAAAACTTTGGGATCTAGGTGGAAAAAAATAGTAGACTTAATGCAAAAGACTACCAGCTGTAAATGCCACCAAATGCACTTCTAACTAGTACTGATTTTGAGTGAGGAGGCCTGTGCAACAACACAAGACTTTTTTTTTTTATCACCTTAAAAAAAAACCCAGAGCGCTAGCAGGTATAAAAGGATAGGCACCTATCCGGTGCACCCATAGCGGGGCCTACATATACTTGCCGCAGCTCTTTTACAAACACACACTGACTACATAATTAAAAATTCCTAGAGCACTGTGTGGTAGCTTAGATTATACAACAGATTGATAGAAACTTTGCCCTGAGCTGTAAACTGCATTACAACTGTGCCGCTTCTACAGCAGTATAACCCCAGTATAATATTAGGCTGCACTTTCAGAACTTCACTTGCTGTGGAAATGGCTTCAAATTCTTTCATCTGCTCCAATTCTACTATGGGATACTGCTAAAGTGGTACATTTTTACCCTATACTGCTGACATGGAAAGGAAACTTACATGTTTGTTAGTAACGCTTTAACTCAGTGAAACTCCATTACAGATCTGCTTCATGTTAGAGCTACTCTTGCAGCAGTATCAGACCAGTGGAGCCACTGAAAGCATAGATGCTGATCGTCACTTTTCCTATCCATGGCGATATGAGATGCAGGATGAGGAAAATGCATAAGGGGGACTACATGGATGCATAATAAAGAGGGACAACTGTTCATATAAAATACAATATGGTTGTCTGCCCTGGACTTGCATGCCACCTGTGTCATATATTTTATGAGGTCTGCACATATCAGTTTATGCCTGCTTTAATAAAACCTCAATCTTAAAATTAACTAGCATTAATGAGGTGTTATTGCTAAAGCTGAAGTTTAATCTGCTTATCATTTTACCCTCCCTGGCTCCTCCTTTACCCCCCCTCATCAATATGCAAAAGTAATTTTTAGATAAAAGCGGTTTTCATTAATGCAACCCAGTCTCGCTGACAGTGTACATAGCTTCCTGACACATCACAGCAGCTTGCATAAGCAATGGGCTGTCTCTTGGGAGGAGTTAAGCAAATATCAAAATGCCTTGATGAGTGGATGCCAGTCTGGAGGAGTAGATGGTTCCTAAGCAGAATGCATTTGCATGCAGCCTGGTCTAGTAATTGTCCACTTGTTATGCCAAATCTCCTGAAATCCAATAATGAAAGGGGTGGGCCAGAGACAGTAAGGAATCAAATGATGCTGGATGTCCTCCAGCCAGGAAATGAGGTGGGCTCAAATCTGACTTGCTCCCGCTTCTAATTCACACTGAAGCTCACAGTGTACAGTAAAATCTGAGTAAGCAATTTCAACACATGAGAGGAGCCCATACAACTGTGCAAGACTGAAGATAAGGCTGGAGTTCAGCTTTAACACATGGGCTCATTTGTTGATATAAAGACCAATGTGCAAAGTGTAGTAACCAAAAACAAAGCAATCAGAACTCCACTTTTCCTTATCTGAATGAAGCAGAATCTGATTAGGGTCTTCCTGATTAACCCTGCTACTATTATTCACCAAACAACTTGCAATTCTTGAATGTGGATCTTAAGCAAAAAAGGTTGGCACCTCAGGTCTAATGACTGCACAATCATTTGAAAGAATATGTAGTCTGTGTTGTGTTTTTAGTGGGAAGATGTTATAGCTGCTACCAGTAAACACAATTCCTTTTAGCATTGATACAGACAACAGCAATAGCAATATATTTCACAAAAGGAAAGGTCTTACCTGGCCACGCTAGTTTCTTTAAACATGTAAGAGCTCCGTTCAACCTAGAACACTCTTCTGTGCTGGCTCCATATCTTTTCATGGTCTCTTTCACTTTTAACTCATTCATCTCCAGTAAGGCATCTAGTGTTAAATCTTCAGGTATTTTCTGCAAAAAAATTAAAAAAAAAAGGATACATAAACAGTATGTACTTAAATGACAATTGTCATACATTCCAATAGTGGAGAATTACAGTCTTTGATTAAAATGAAATGCTGCTTTAAAGTGTATGTAATCCCCATGAAATAACATCTCTTATTTGCACACAACAACCAATCAATTATTTGCTGTCATTCTAATCTGCACTAGTAAAAAAGATGCGGACTGCTTGCCATGACCAATATCTCCACTTTTCAGACCACTAGATTTACAAATTAGCCTTGATCTGTTGTAATGGCCATTATATTGTTCATACAGGCAGCTTGCGTGGCTTGGTGAGGAAGGACTTTATGATTAAGCCCTATGGCAAGGTGGAACGCGTCAGTGATGGAGCCTGCATTTGGTGGGATCTGCTTCCTTATGGAACGATAATGTTTTTTGAAATGTTCAAAAGCAAGTGGTTTCCAATCAGCAAGATCAAATGTGGATCTGCCCCTGTAATTAGTTAAAAAGAAACAAAAAAACACTGCACATGGCCAACATAATGTGCAAGCAGCAAATCTTGCCATAGACAAGTAAATGTCTCACCACAATGACAGTCAGTAACCCGTCCAACCTAACTAGCTGGAAAATGAGCACTTTCGATGGTTATAAATGTTCACTGTAGCACCTAAGAGAAGGGTCTTCATGGTCCAATCCTTGGCTAGTCGTTGATAAAACAAAAACATAGCTCTTACTCAATCAGAGGTTGACAGGAACCAGCCTGTCCATGTTGAAATTTCCAACTATGGTGGCAATATCAACTGTTATGCATGATTGTAGTTTTCAACAATTTACATAACTGTGAGCTCTGTGGTGCTACAGTGTTTCTGATTGACAGAATACTGATCTATCCCAAGTGTACTACTACAACTACAGTAAACTCCCCGTTTCCGGCATCCACTGAGATTGGTAGATTCCAGATAGATGTAGTTTCTGGCTGTTTGAGAGTTACTATTAAAAATAGATCTAACTAATGCCATACCCCCATACTATACCATAACAAACTCTGTATTGACTTCATATTGTTATTGAAATGCAGTAATTAAAAGCAAATTAAGACAAATAGGCACACAATCGTTTCCAATATAAATACATGCCGCAGAATAGTGAGTGAACAAGGGATTTTTTTTTCTTGTTAGACGAGTTCTGGTTAGTTGAATTCCGGATAACAGAGAGTTTACTGTATCTCTTCAATTAACATAAAATAAAAACACAAACACAGCGCCTCCTCCTCGTGAAATTTGTTTGACTTGTCTGTAGTATAATAAAATAAGACCGGTACTCACAACTAAGCTTGTGTAGCCACAGTAAAACCACACTGAATGTCCCCTTCATGAGAGGCACAAACAGGTCAGCCTTTCTTAATTTACACCGCAGGCCGAGGCCAGAAGATCGGAAGATGATACAAACTATGCCTGGGCATTCAGTATGGTTTTACTGTGGCTAGACAAGCTTAGTGGTCTTTCTAAATTGTGAGCACCTGTCATATTTGATCATACTAGAGCCAAATAAAATGTTTTTTACGACGACATGGAGCTCTGCTCCTGTTTGTGTTTAGATGTGATAGAGACACCTCTGTCTTGGATGTGAGCTGTCTGCCCCCAGTGGACGCCCTGTCATCGGTGGATGAAGTGGGAAGACTAGTTGGTGTGATTATTGTACTGAATTAATTGGAGTAATAAAGTAGTAAGAAATAAAATAGAGTGCATCTGTATTGAACATAGATCCATAAAATCTGTATTCGAGGGTTATAATACCTTTGCAGATTATGGCATGTTTCCATTCCTAGAAGACTTCACAAAGCATTGTCATGAGTTTACTAGCTCTACACATGTATGTATAGGTATTTGCTTTGTTTGTGAGCCGTTAGATAATGCTGGACTAGAAGCTAAGGTAATCATTCTTACTGTCCTTTACAATGGAAAAAATACTGGGGAGTGCCATCTTCTTTGCACAGATACAGAGAAGAATAAATAGAAATGCACAGCAACAAATGGAGTCAGGTTTTCGCAGACAGGCGCTCGTTTGCTGTGGGTGGAAGGCTGCTCCCTTCTGCCCATCATACTTGTTTACAATGCCTGGCTATTTTTGCCTAGGAGAACTACTAGACAGCAGCTGTGCAACTCCTCCGACTTGTTCGCATGTTGCTCGACCCCTGGATTGGTCTCAACTGTTTTCTACCAGGAATTTCCAAATCTCTAACTGCAGTCGTGCCAGGGGCTGCATACATCAACTATAAATGGTGAATTAACAAAAACACAACTTGCAAATCATGTTTATGAAGCTAAAAGGAAATGTATTCATACAAATTGATATTATTCTAATAATGATAATATGTATGATCAATTACTATTGTAAATGGGGAGTTATGGGCAACTTACCTGCCTCTGCTACTGACAGGTTAGGTTATCTCCCCTGCTTAATTGAACAGATAAATGGGTAGTTTACCCCCCTTGCCTACTGAAATTGATGCAACAGAAAGTTCAAATAAATAAAGCCCTCCCGCTCTATAACTATAAATATGTTAATTTAAGACTAGCACTTCTTTATTTTCAAAGCTGATCAGTGCCTTCATTTAGAAACGGTGAATCTCAAGTAAAAATAGTACAGTGACTGTGACCCTGGAGTCCACACACATATTTAGGAAAATTGTGACAGCCTTGGAGGGCAGGTCAGTTCCAAATAAACCTTACATCCTAAACCCCTCATCACCTTACTGGTACCCAGGCGGTGCTGGAAAGCTTTGAGTTCCTCAGAATTGTGCTAACCTATAGCTATAGGGATACAAACAATATGCCCAGTGTTTCTGGCTACGATGTGGATAGGTGAGGGCCTTGTGAAACTGAATTATAAAAACAGCAGATCGGACTCAAATCACATCATTATTTTAGTCCTGAACAAAGCACACTGGCGCCAACATATAAATAACAGATCAGAAGAAACTAGATTTAAGCATCCTAGCCGTAACCTTCAACCTATATGTAAGGGAGTTGCATAGGTTAATATGGGAATCAGTGCTCATTTACCTTTTTATAGTTTTTATAAATCAGTTCCATACTTGCCAAAGGTCCTGGATAGGCCAGGACCATTGTGTTTTTTTATGCATTTATCCTGCAACTTCTATGTCCCAGGATGTCAGCGTGAGGCTTGCCAAGACTCTCACAACCTCCTTCCAGCATGCCTGACCTGTTACATTGTGCCCACACCTAATTCATAAGCAGATCAAACATCTCATTCATGTGCAGATCCTGTGGCATGTTCTGTGCTTGTGTGTGGTGGGGGTGTGCATATTATAAAATGCCAACTTTTATGTTATATTTCTGACCCCTGCACTGAATATGCAAAGTTGTACATTATACTCATGACCCCTGTACTGTATATGTTAGGTTGTACATTATATTCCTGACCCCTACAATGCATTCATTATGTTGTACATTATAACCTTGATCCCTGCACTGTATACACGATGTTGCACATTATATTAAGCTTGGCGACAGAGTACTAACTAGTTATATTACGCTGGATTTTTGACACATATAAAAACCCTTAACCTTTCAGCAACTATGAGAGGTGTTGCAGTACTCAGCAGAAAAGGTCAGTGTCAAATTCTGTTTCCTAAATACTGTATGCCAAATGTGTTTGCAGTGTCATGCACGTGGGTACAAATACAGGCATACAACATAAAATATGCCTATATTTCCAGGAGCCCAAGCTGCTGCATTTTTCTGTATCGAAAGAATGAAAACGCTGTACACTGATGTATGCACGTGAACGCTGGTATTGGTGCTGACATGCGAATATGCATGAGGGAGCTAGCTGGCGAGAAGGAGGTTCTATTATTCACCCTGCTGGAGCCACCTTGCAAGGTGATGAAGTGTCACATGGGGCAGCTTCCAGAAGAGAAAAGAGAAGATGCATGGCTATTAAACAGGGAAGAACTAGAGCTAGCACACAGAGTAGCAATGCAGAAGATGGAGGATCGGCTGCAGTAGTGTTGCTACTCTGAATAAGGAAGCCCAGGGAAATGACAGAATCAACCAGGTATTTACTGGGAGGGGGCCAGGAGAGGGGTGGCAGTCACAGTTTTGAGTGGGCTTGGGTGAACTCAGGTGAACTGGGTTTGCACAAACTCCAAATTTATCCCTAATAGTCAGTCAAATTAAGCTACTGTCCCCTTTTTGGTCACACAACATGGAGATGGTGAGTAATTGTGCAGGATCCTTGCTGCAACAAAGGAACATAATGAAGGTTATTTCACCAAGGAGACGAAGGATTGAGCTGAAGCATTGGCTAATCCTTTGGCTCAATTCCGACGCTGGAGCCCTCCGGTTCAGACAAACCAAAGGGATGCTGTACGGGCTATTCACAATAGCCTGTACAGCAGCTGAAGGCAGCCGAACAACTCAGCCGAGCCGAACGCATGTGCTGCCAAAGTCACAGCTGAAGTGGGTAAGAACAGTCTGCCAAAGCAGACATTTCTCCCCGCAAATGTCATTTGAGGACACTGGGCCGTCACTGAATGACAACAACTGGGCAGAGCCAACCGTGACACCACAGCTGACTCCACCCATTTGTTTTGATTTATTTGGCCGGCCCATATGACAGGTGGCGGCAAAATCAAATGTTGAAAATGTTGAGGGGGGGGGGGGTTTTCCCCCTTCAAATGGGGAAACCAAAGTAATCAAAATTCTTTCAAAATGAAAATACCTACCTATTCAAATTTTCTGAATATTCCCAAGGGGTATTAAACCCAAATATAGCATATTATAACAAGAAAAAGGAGAAACCCTCATAGCGATATACTCCTTGGGAATTAATACAACACACAATTACATAAAAAATATATTTTATCAAAAATATTAAAAACCAATTTACTAAAACCCATCAATGTATATCCAGCATGATATTATAAATGTTATTAGGTGCACATGATTATGTAGAAAAATCAATCAATCAAAATAATCAAT